ATATTTTTTTTACCAATCGATAGCTTGTGAAGTTCCCTACAAATAATGTCTTGGGAGTTTTTCAGTCTCATGCTTCCTTTATTTTCTGTGATCGTTCTACAAATGGGTCAGATATGACCCACTGGGGGGGTAAACGGTTAAACTAAATTTTAATTATATATATAATTATTAACTTACTCGAATCCAAAAATACCAAATACCAATTTGTTGTAAACCATAAAGAGATGTTAAAATAATATAGATCATTAAACCAGATAGAAAAATATAACTGATTGGATAAAACTAAAAATGTAATAATTTATTTAATTAATAAAATTATAATATTATCATTTTACTTTTCCAGTCCATGTTAAAACAATATCAATTGGATTTGGTAATGTTTGATTGCCTTGTGCAAATATTTGTTTAAAATTAATAAAATTAATACATTTATTAATATTACTTAATAAAAGTGAAATAAATATAAGTAAAGCAAAACAAAATAAGAGAATTCCAAGAATTATTTGTATTGGTCGATATATATAACGACATTTAAAACAAAAACTTTGTCGAACATTTATTATTGATTCTTCATTTCGACATAAAACTGCATCATGTTGTTCAAGTTCAGCTAATTTACGTTTTTCACGAACTGGCATTGGAACATGACGTGGATACTAAAGAATAATAATAGATAAAAGCTATTAGCACAATCCCTGATATATTAAAATGTGAAACACGATGTAGTTGTTGTTGATAATCATATGGAGATTATTTTATTCAAATCTATTTTAGGATACATTTCTTTTACTCCAGAATAGAACTCGGAATAGGATGTCCAGTTTTATTTCAAAAATACAAGAAGGAAGTAGTTTTATATGAGAGATCTCTATTGGATAGGACTGTGCTCAGTCCATACAGACTTTGGATATATGTGTTATAATAAGACGTGATTGATCTATGCTTTGTAGGGACAATATCTAAACTATTTCTATGGTTCAATATTCCTTTTAGATCATGTTTCACAAAATCTTCTTTAAATTCATTTATATACTCGAGTTTTTAATATTCTTATTTGATTTTGTATTTCACTACGTTGTTCTTCAATAGTTGTTTGTTGTAAACGTGCACTTCGTTTACCACGAATTAATGATAATGGACAAGCAATAGAACCATAACCCTAAATAAATAAATAAATAAATAAATTCAAATATTAATTTATTTATAATTAATTACCGTATAAATTGTTAAAAGAAGAAATCCAATAATACTTAAAGTAAATATTGCAAAAGAAATTGAATCTTCAATTCCTATAAGATTTTGTTGAAAATTAAAAAAAAACCAGAAAATTATTGATAATATTTTCATTATTTACTTGAACTATCAAAATGATCGATTAGATATTTCACATGATCCCATTCACTTGTTGAATTATCCGTTGGTAATGTTGCCAATTGAGGAACAAATATTCTTAAAAAAAACAAAAATACATTATTTTAATCGAACATTCAATTAAATTATATACCCAAGTATAATTAAAATAATCAGAAAAATTAAAAATCCAATTGTCCATTTAATTGCTGAACGTACTCGCTAGACAATGAACAAAGCATATGAAAATATAATCAATTGATGTCTATTTTTTTTCCCATACTTTTGATGTTTCTTCTTGTTCTTCTTTTTCTTCATAATAAAAAAAGAGAAATGGATTAACAAGAAAAGCCATAAGAATGACAAGACCATATAGAACTAGATAAACAAAAAAAAAAAATTATATTTATATATTAAATAGAATGTCCTGGAAAGCAAACAAATAATAAAAGAAAAAGCATTTTTCTCAATATGAATAATACTAGCTGAGCACATACTTTCAAAAACTAACATCCGTTCGATTACAAGTAATTGCCATAGTTTATATATCGAACTTATCTATCAATAGTATATGAGAAAATTTAATTGAAGTAAAATTTATGATTATAAATCTGTTCGCACTATGTCGATGCGATTAAAATGAAAAACACAATGTAGCTACTGTTGCTAATTACAGGAAAATAATAACGAAACATTCTTGATATATGATCTATGATGGAGAGAGAAGGGTATATGATCTATTCAAATCAATAACAAGATCAAAACAAAGAAGATTATCAGATTTTTTTTATTACTTCATTTCGAATATTAAATCAAAATTAAACTCCACTGATAACTCAAATAGAAGTTTATTGAATTTTAAAGTATTTCTATGACTTCATATTTGATAAAAAAAAATGTTCCATTGGATATAAAAATATCATTACTATAACACAACAAATTGTTTGATTCTCTCGTTCATTAATCATCTATATATTCTGCTTGCATGCTAAAGTAATTCGACTACTAAAAATGATTGTTCATTATGCATATTAATTCTGTTCGTGATTTTATACTTATGTTTTGCTTTAAAATAGAGTTCTTTATAAAATTACTTGTAATCAACACTTTTCTCCTTTAGACTTTATCTTAGATAATGACAAAAAAAACTGAAAATAAGAAGATCACAAGTAGAGTTGAGCAGCTTTTCGAAAATCTTACTCGAACTGAAGTTGAATTTGTTTCAATATTATTTTCAAAATATAGACATTTTTTCAATAGAAATCTACAAACAATATTAATAAAAATCATAGCAACATTACTTTTGTTTTATCTATTTTTTTTTTCCAATGAATTAAAATATCATTTAATAAACATTAATTTTGATTGCATGTCTTTTGACATGAATACATTCGATAATGAATGCATTTTACCTCAATTAATCATATCTGATCCAAAGAAGACTTTTTTTTTTCTGATAGATAAAAAATTTGATTTAATATGAAATTTTCAGCCTTATATTATTATCTTTCAGGGAGACATTTACAGGAAATAAAGGTCGAAAATAACTCATTTGACTATTTAAAATTGTCTGTGGGTCTTCATTCTATAGATGAAAATTTATTTTTTATTTGAAATAGAAGCATATTAGAGTGCAATGCCATTTTTGGTCCGGAGGAAAAGTTCAATCCATTGAAAAACTCAGAAAATAGGCATCTATTTATAGAAATATTTCTTTATATAATAATAAAGAAACTTAATTAAAAACACCGGATACTACAATCTCTTTCAAGAATTTTGGGATGTGTGATCAAAAATTTACTATAAACAAAGAAAAAAAAAATAGTCTAATTTTTAAGTTAATAAAAATATTGGGTCAAGAAAGAAACATATCTTTAAATGTTCAAAGTTGTTGTTTTCTTTTTGCACTTCAAAAATAAGATTAATATAATGTTCTAACGAGTGTATCACATACGAGTAAAAAAAAAAGAAGCAAACAGTTTAATTATAAATCACATACCATAATATCCAACTTCCACATATTTTTGAATATGATCTCGAGTTGTTTGATTTGATGTCCACTCCTAAAAACAATACTTTTAAATACTTAATTCAATTACTTTTTTTTTTTGTCTACTTTAAATGTTCCATTCGGATTTTTCATAAATGATACAAGAATAACATCGGTTGGTAATAAACTTGATGTTAATAAAGCAATAATTAATGAAATTGAACAAACTAATGTAACCAAACAATCTCGATCTCGGTTTTGTTGATAACGTAATGTAAATATAATCGACAAGAATATAATGAACTAACAAAAAACTATATAATCAATAAACAAAAGAAACTTATTAAATTACATACCAAACCAACAATTGCAAAAGGTAGCCAACTGCCAAGTGACGCTAAAATCAACATAATTGCTTCGAAAAATCTAAGAAAAAGAAAACAAGAAGATTATGTAAAGAGACAAGCTTAGACAGTTGAATAAATGTATGCTTTCGTAATCGAACATTGTCTTGATTACATGATAATAATAATAATAATAATAATAGTAGTAGTAAAGACAAAGCTTTATCCAGACTTAAAAATGTACATGTATTTTCAAGATAGTCAATTGAACAAATATAAAGACGCAAACAAACATGACAACATTTGGATCAATACGGATTTAAATTTTTTTTTATAATGATAATCATCAACTATATAAGGAGGAGAACAATTTGTTCATTCATTCTTTATTCAAACTACAATCATGTACAATCATCGTGTTCTTTATTTGACTATACTTATATTGTGTCTATTCAATTTAATAGCGTCAGCTACTTCTAACTGTCCTGTTGAAGGTGTATAAAAATTTCTTAAATAAAAATGAATTTTAGCATATTTATATGATTTTTCTTTTTCTCTAGCCGATCCAACAATAATTCTTAGTTGTGTTGCTATTGATGCTGTTGGTTTAGTTCAAGCAACAAAAGGTAATATACGAGGATTTTGTACTATGGCTGAACGTTTTATGGAATGTCTTAAAACAAAAACAAGAGGATGTTTTGGTGAAGATGTAAGAAAATAATTTATTTTTAAATCGAATAATGAAAACAAAAACAATGGATAGTTGTTTGGTTTGATTGTAGTTCGTACGTGGATCTCTTTCAGAATTAATCGAACTTTCACAAAAATGTTGTGTAAATAAAGATGAAAAACTGAATGAAGAATGTCCATTTATTAGTAAGTTTTATTCTCTTTTTATAATTAAAAATCTAATTTGTTTCTTTTTTTTTTTATACAATTTAGCAAAACCAAACTGTTTTTCTTTGAATGATATGGCAAAAACTCCAACGGGTTATGATATTCCTATTAAAAATCTTAAAATAGGTGATCAAGTACTTGCAATTGATTATAATGATAAAATAGTTTCAACAGAAATTATTTCATTTTTACATTATGAAAATAATTCTCAAGGTAAAATAAAAACAAAAAAGAATAAAAACATAAGATTTTTTTTTTTTTTTGTTCGCAATTTTGGCTTTTTAGCTTTTTTTTACACATTCACAACTGAAACAGGTCATCATATATCTCTAACATCAGATCATCTTATATTTATTGGAAATGGAACATATATTCAAGCTCGTTATGTTAATCCTAAAAAACATAATCTCTTTGTTATTGGAAAAAATGGTCATTTACAATCGTCATCTATTCGTTCAATTGATGTTCAACTCAAACAGGGCTATGCAACACCTATAACTCAATACGGGACCTTGATTGTTAATAATGTTAGTTCATCGTGTTACTCATCCATTTATCATCATAATTTAGGGCATATGGCTATGGCACCTTTACGTTTCATTCATCATGCTAAACAAATATTTGGTATTGTCAATAAAAATGAAATGCCTAATAATGGTGTTCATTGGTATCCAAGAACACTGAATAATATTGTTCATATGCTTGGACCTTTAGCAAATGTATTCACAACTACTATGGGAAAAATTTAAGAAACAACGATATAATTATGTTTAATATCGATGAAAATAAAAACTGTTTTAAAAGAAAAATAAAACATTTGTAGTTCAAATGAAATAATATCATAAAGAGAAAGCGACGATATTTTTACTCACCGAAAATTTTCGAGTTGTAAAACAGAAAAAAATTATTTTGTTTGTTTCTTTTTTTTTGTATTTCCAGTATGACTCTATGTCGTAAATAATTTATGCATATTGACGAATTGCAAAAAATACCAATAGATGACGCTAGTAATCAATCATTAAGCAATAAAAACATGGTTGTTTCCAATTGATTTTTATTCAAGTTAATGTTTAGGTAATTTTAGAAAGTTTTTCAAAGAATTTTTTAAATATCTTATTCCTAAGAAATCTAAACTTTTATAAATATCATCATTATATGAAGTTATTTTAAGCAATCTTGATCTATCAAATTATTAATACGAAAAGTTTGAATTGATTTTTAAAATAAAAATATTCATTTTAATAAAAGCAAATGAGTTGATTTATTTTGATTGTGATTAATTTTTTTTTAAGACAGCCTGTTCGGATGTAGGTGTTAATTCTCAAATCAAACATACACAACTACATCCACATTCACATCTCTATCTGTTTCTGTTATCGCAATATTTTTGAAACTTCACAATCAGAGTCGACATTTCCCAACTATTGAGATAACAGAGTTAGATGATTTCGAACCTAAAAACAAATATTACCACTCGAGTCAGCATCGAGAAGTAGTTCTTTAGAGATGCTTTTCCGGATGATCACAGCTTAATTGGTTGAAATCGAAAGTCTCACGAAAAGACTTAAAACTCTCGAACAAAACAAGCTAGAAATATTAGCATGCGTAAGTTGAAAAAAAGAAGCATCTTTTCTATCGATTATTATTATTAAAAGTCTAAATCGAAAGGAAGATAGTTTTCAGAATATCGTTCGAATCTTCTTTCTTGAACGGTGAAAATTGCAGGTCTCGATGATGTTTCTATCAAAAAGTTATTCAGAAAACCAGTGCAACACATTATCTTTTCAAATGAATAGTAGCTGCATAATTTATCCCTCGCTCTTATTAACTAATTTTTCTTTGTATTTCTTAACATTTAACGTCCCAATGTTTGGAAAAATTAAATATACTTGTGAGTAATTCATCAATATTTACATGATAGATAGATCAGGCTTTGAGTTCAATGAAAAAGCACTTTTGTCAGAAGCAAATTAATGGCACAGACGTGAAATTTACAGAGATCGATATGCACTTAGGACTTGATATTTGAAATCAATGAAATAAGATCTGTACATCCACGGAAGTTTCGAAAAATAGACAATTCTTTGTTAGTCAATTTTTTAGAAATTTTGCTTTAACGGAATTTTTGAAGCATCAAAGCTTTCCATTGAAAAAGAAACTTAATTATTATCGAAATAAAATGTTATTATACTGTAACTGTATCAAAGTATTGTTTTTACAATATGTTAGTTGATGGATGTTTCTGATTATCTCACAAAATTTCTTTGAATAAATTGAATTTCACAGGAGACAAAAAGGTTTAAATTTAGCATTTAGTGTCCATAAATTGTAGACTAGTTTGAGACCATACTTATTCGAATAGAAAGCTGCTTGTGCCGAGATGGCTATTGTGATGTAATCTCCAATATTTAGCTGTAATATTATCGATTTCAATTTTTTGTTGCTGCATTTCAACATAAGCGATAGTTCCAACGGTTGTCCAGAGTGTGCCATCATGTGAATATTGCAAAGTGCCAGAATTACCGTTTTGGGGGCCCCATACATATTTATTTTTATGCATTGGTGCAATTGTTACACTTGCTACCGAAACAGGGGATGGAAATGTAGCTTTAATCCAGCCAACACTGTTCGCATCAGTTGCAGC